TGATAAATACTAAATTCATGATACTCAGACAATCAGTATTCTAAATCTGGGTATGTATTTTACCCTACTGTAAATAAATTCTCTTTGTGCAGTTGTTACAATATTAAGATTACTTTAAGATTTGCAGAAATCTAACATCTAATTTCAGTACAAAATATAATCTGATGAACTTTAAATGGAATAAATTCTGAAAATGTGCTTCTCATCTCATCTCATCTCATCTGTTTTTGTGACGCTGTCATGCATTGTTAATCTCCATTCACTGCGTTATGTCTGCGAAACCACTGTTTACACTGAATGCATGTAATTCAAAGCTTAACCTTTTAACATTTGATTTCAGTCACTGCAGTGCATTATTGAACGGATTACACATTGGGATTAATTTTTGAATTTGTATGTAATGTATTTTCAGTGGACCTCAGAAGAGCATATGCAAAACCTGACTTCTTTAGCAAAGCATTCCTAGTTCCTGCTTAAAAGAATAAACACTTTTCTCTTCTTGAGGTATGAATGCCACAGGAGGAACGGTCAGTCCTGTCCTGGTTAAACTCACCAGCTGACCTTCCAGCTGAGCTCTGTTTCCATCTTTATATGTGAGGGGTAAATTTAATGGGAACAAAAAGTTTCTTTTAACTGATTCTGGTAAGTCACCACAGCACCAAAACTAAACACCAGGCTTTAAGAATAACATGGTTATCTGAGAACTTTCTGCTATTTGTTTTAGATGGAAGAACCAGAGCAACATTTTACCATCAAATAACTTTAAATGCTTGACCATGGTCAAGTTTAATGGTCATTGTCAAAGTAAATGTCAAGTTTCACTGGAAAGTCTATGATGATACTAAGCTCAGACCTCCCCTGAGACTGTGAATACTTCTAGGACCTTTTTAAAAAGCCCAATAAAAATATTGTATAAATGATCACATTAATAAACAATGTGCCTAATGGACAAAAACATACTTTTCAGTTAAACATAAAAACATGAATGTTATGTATAGTAAAGGTCTCCTAAGTTGAGAACTGCTCAATACAAAACATATGGGCATAAATGGGCACCCATAAAAATGTTTGGCTGAGATTCATAAAGTCAAAAGTGGTCCGCACTTGGGTTCCAACCCTAATGCTTGAGTAATTCTGCATTAAAACAAATTACCAACACTGTGTTATTCGGGAAGTTTACCAGTCTCCAGCACCTACGCATTGCTTATCTAAACAGTTATGTTTTTTTTAAACAGCAGATGAACACTGATTTATGTTCACTAGTATCAAACATGAACAGTCATTTCCTCTGTCAGTGACAGTGACGTCACCACTTAATGCCAAACACTAAAACAAGCCCTACACATGAGATTTGATTCACAGATTTATGTTGTGCGTGTCACACACCCATGCACTTATTGGGACACACATAGAGCCACAAATTCCACTTTTAGTCATTTTGCATAACTCTATGTATAAATACAGCTTTAGGAATCAGTTATGGTAAAGTAATGAGACGTTTAGACTCCAGAGGAAATTGTGTGTTTAGAAGAAGAGTGAAAACAAGCCTCACACCTTCTGTCACAGAAACAAACAGCTGAAGACAGACAGCGCCAGAGCTTCACTTCTGGACAAACCTATAAATTAACCCAGCTTTCTGGACACTGGGGAGACAGAGATTTTTTCTATGGAGCATCATCTCTGGCTCCACTGAGCTTTCCCCTGCACTGAACTCCCACCCTGCTGTTAGAAAGAGGTATCCATTACCCCATCAACTTACAAATCACATGTGACTTTTATGACAAACCCTTTCACAGTTAAACAGCTTAACTTTACATTTCCCTCCAGGCAGCACCCCATTAACACACTACTGACGGTGAAGTTAAAGTCAAAAGTAATGTGAGGTTAACTAGTTTTGTATTATTTTTGGTATTAATTAGCAAATTCAAAACTTATTTGTGCATATGCAACCAGGTTATTGTTGAGGCCTGTCATGATAATTATTATACTGACTTATCATTCAGTACGTGTAAGCTGGAACAATACATTTTGGGGCTCTGTATATACAGTATTGTGTGTACATTTACTTTGTGCTAGCGGAGACTTTTGGTTCTTATTTATAGTACCATATAATTGGAACAGTTGGAAGGTTGAACAAGTAACTTCTATGACTGATTATAGATACAAATGGATTTGTTTTTCATTCTTCTTTATTGCAAATCATGTCTTTTAGACAATGTTTTACATTTACAATATGTTTTGGGGGGATTATCCTGCTTTACGGTTATTGTGTCTGTGGCATGAATTACTTTCAGTATTATAATTTATTGTATTTTTTCAGCAATATATCACACTTCAAAATGTGTTATCATGACAGTCTTACTCATACTCAAGAGTATGTTATATTTGCTGTATATTTTTGACTTTTCCTTCTGTCTCACACACTGGCCACACACTGTTCCTAAGGACATTATGATGTTTACTGCTCCCCTGTCTAACCTCATCAGTGACACTCTACAGG